TACATGACAGAGCTTTTTAGTCTAGTAGCATCAAGGCGAATACCTCTTTTCAGCAACTGGGACAGTGTTTGCTAGCAAAAGGCCTGATCAACATGATATTGTATGGTCAACTGATCAAAGCCATGATTAGAAGTGCAGTGCTGGCAGTACAGGGTCATTTGTTGCTGACTGCGTCTGAAACAGTGATCATCTGCAATAAATGGCGATTCAGTGCAGACCCTTGGTATACCTGCTTGTCGCTTTAACAACTCATCCTTACAGGGGATTTCAGGTCCCTCAAATTTTACTTGCTAAAAGAGAACTCATTTTTCAAGACCCAGGCTAATAACAAGCCTCACACAGGAAGCTTATTTCATTGATTAAGACAGGCTCTGTAAATACAGTGTGTTTATTAGTATGGTCTAAGTTCAGGTAAAAGGTCTAAGAAACGGACCTCAGGTTGCCTGAGTCGTGTGTGGTATATGTTTAATGAATTTTCACTTAATCATCCATTAATATGCATGATTAAAATAAACATGGCAATTGAACAGCACAGCACTAAATACTGTTCTGAAAGAAAACCACACTGGGTAAACTAAACCAACTGCATTTCTTACTAATCTACACAAGGCATTTCATTTAAAAGGAGAATTTATAGTATTTGAAATATCCTACCACATACTGAAACTTTTAGTGTAACTGCCACTTTCTGACTATCACATATTGAAATACTTGTGGCGCATAGTGAAATTTATGTTACATAGTGTAAAATATATAGTGAAACCGAACTGATGTATAATGAGACACACATGTGCCTGCAATGACTTATCAGTTCCATTATTTTCTAACTAACATTATTTTCACGATCAAGTTTTTCTGGGTCAGGAGAAGACAATGAATGGTGAAGACCAGGACTTGATATTTAAATGGAAAATGTAGACCCGAACTTGCACAAAAATCCCCTCGAGTTATCCTTTGTCCTTTTCTCAGATCAGTTCTAAATGCAAAGTCTGCTAATGGCTACAACATGTCCCTCTTTCACTGCCAAAGCTTCATTACGAACATCAACATCACCCCAGCCAGGGAAATACCACCAGCCACAAGTGGAGAGGCCGAGGGCCCGATTCTCAGCAGCTTTCACCAGTGTAGGGCTGCCGCATGAGAGACCATGGTGAGGTGGGCGGGGGTCCTTGCAGGAGCACCTAAGCATGGGTTGGGACTTTCAGACCCACTCAGGTGTCACGCGAGGGGGCAGCCAGGCATCTCAGACCTGACCTCCTTCGTTCACCAGTGCTCCAGCCCTCCTGTGAAGGCCTGGGGTGGAAGGGCAGCTGCGGTGGTGCCTGACCTGCAAAGCTTCCCTCTGCTGCTGAGGTGTGTTTTCTTTTACTTAAGCCATGTCCTGACTGCGTAGCCAAGCACCCCTGCGGGCAGGGCGGCCAGGCTGGCCGCTGGGTGTGCCGGTGGAGGAGGGCTGCGGCAGCCGGTCCGGCAGCTGCTGGCCTCCCGGCGACCTGGGGCGCTCCTCTGTGGGGCTCTTGTTTGCAATTCGCGCTTGCTCTCCAGCCTCAGCGGCGGTTTGGGCTGGTGATGTCACCTCTCGGGGTGGCTGGCTTGGGAGGCGGCGCCATCCCTGTCCTGGTGGACCGCGGGCTTGCAGGTCCCACCCGGCACAGGGCTGCAGGGCTTCTCCTGCCCAGGGCTTCCCACCAGCCTTGGACCACAAAGACAGACCGGTCTTTGAGAACTGGCCAAAACCGAACCCGAGATCTCGATGCTGCTCAAGCAAAAGGGGGGAAACAAACCGCAAATTTCACATCTCTCTGATCAGTCCTACTCCCACCTCCATGAAAGGACTTTCTTTTGTAGGTGATCTTTTACCTGGCTTTGCACTAATGTCAGTGTGACCAAAGCATTTACCACTCAGAAAGTGGTAACAGCAATTTTGCGATCTCCCCCAGTAGCGCTCAAGTCAAAGTGTGTTTGTCCCATCCTAGCCATTGGACTACAGGCCTTTTGCTAAACCAAAACAATCTAGGCCATACTGAAATTGAAAGAAGACCTTCCTACTTCATGGCTGTTGTGCAATCGATGCTCATCAAGGATGGTTGGAGGCACAAGACAAAACACACCCTGCGTTTGAGGGTAAGGTATATTAACCTTTCCACTTGGAATGCCTAATTGCTCAAATATTGCGAACATTGTTCAAACTGCCAGATATGTTAGGGAACAGGCAGAACTGGCGGGACAGCTCTATATAAGGGGTATGACAAATTTATTGGGTAAATTGTATGGGAGTGCTTAACCCTTCTTTCTGTTCTGTTTTTTTGTAAGGACAACTGCCAAGTAGAGTTGATCATGACTAATTCGTGTGAGGAAATAGCACAGAGAAGTTAAACAGCAACAACCAGTTTGATTTCACTTGTTACCAATAAGGCATAACTTAAGTTTCAAAAGTAGATGAAAGGTAAGTTTGCCATTTGCTCTCTATGTTTTAAAAGCTGCAAAAGAGCTTGAAGAGGGGTGTGCTTTGCATGATGTTTTTAAAGCAGGGGGAGGAGACAAGCACAATTTAAATCCCAGGTGCACCAGGACAAAAGGTCTCCAGAGCATCAAATTTGTCTTTTGTATTTTGTTCTTCCCAATTCCTGGCTTTTCAAAACCATTCTAGAGAGTTATGATAGTTATCCCTGAAGAAGAGCAGAGCATATACAGGCGTGTCAATGACAAAACTGACCAAGGTGATACAGAAACAATAAATGAGAAATTGCCTTGAGGGAGAAGGAGAAAGAAGCAGTAACTGAGTACCTGAGTATCAATGCTAACTAACAGCATATTAGGCATGAATATTCACAGGTGGTAAATCACCTACTACCCCGTTTTTGACCTGTCATCTTATCTCCCCTGAATCAAAGGGCACGACAATCGTGACAATGGCTGGATGAGGTACTCCTTATTTAGGCAACATTGTAGAAGATTATCTGTTGACAGGGAAACAGAAACCTTTCATAATGCTAGGAGGATAATTCATACAGTAATCCCAGAATAATAGATTTTTAATCCTAGATTGTTTCCTTGTATGATACAAACTGCTCAGTGTCATCCACCCCTTTGAACACCTCTGTGACTTCATTGAGAGAGACCATTTCCTTTTGGGAGATGATTGGTCCAGACTAAAACACTTTCCAATTCCTTCATCTCTGTAGCTAGATTGTTCTTTAACTAAAACAGAATAGAGCAAAACCGCTGCATCTTTTCAAAGATACAGAATTACTGTTCCTCTGAGCTAACCCCAGTAAGCCAAGCACATGGCTGAGCTTTCATGAGATCAGGTTTAAACACAGTTCTTTTCATTTAAAATGATTGGTTTAAATGTCCGCTACATGGGCTGTAGATGAAGACTGTCCAAAATCAGGCTGCGAAGGTGTGTCTGCCCTCTGCTGAGCCAGGTGGGTCCCTGTGAGGAGGCTGAAGGCAAATGGCTCTTCTATACATCAGCAGCTCAGCAATTTTCTCCACATCTGTGAGAAAGCTGGCTGTGATCACCTGCCAGTAGAAGGGACACTGCTAGTGTGAACCCACTAGTAGATTTTCTTCTCTGGCTGCCTGTATCCGGCCATGGAGATGTCAGTGTGCTAAGAGCACACTGTGCTAAGAGCACCAGCTTCACATCACTGCATTTTCAGCTCCAGGGGGAAGTATTAGCAAAGCAAGACAAGTCAAAATAAGGAGAACCCTAAGAAAGGGAGTAATTTGTCAATATTAACCCAGCAGAACACTGAAGGTGACCTTTGCCAAGGTAACAGCAGTATTCTGAGGAACCACAAAGCATTGTGGGTGTTATAGTTTGTCAAGTCATGGGTGAAATTTCATGCCTCAGAGTAAAGTCAGAGATGAGAAACTCTGGGTCTTTCAACGTGGGAGAGCTGAATTTGTCAAAATAGTTTCACTTTGCATCTACGCACTGTGAAAAGATGTTCTTCCTTCTCTTTTTTTTTTTTCTGTTAGTGTTTCACCTCACCCTTGCCCTTAGTTGTGTTGTGCCCTTGCTTAGGAAGCACCAGGTTTTCCAAAGAAAAGGAGGCATCACACTGCTTCCCTCCACCAGGAAATCTCCCTCTGGGAAGACTGAAGAAGCCAGTGGCCACCTTCCCCCATGGCCAGCCTGCTGGTAGGGTTAGCAGCATCAGCAGGGAGCCAGGAGTTCCAGGGATGCTCATAGAGCAGGCAAGAGGATGGAGCTGGGCACAGGGTAGAGGAGAATGAGAAAGGTAGCAGGGATGGAGAGAAAGAGCGTGGGGCTCACCACTCACCCATGCTAGAGTACGTAACAGGTAATGTGCCGCAGTGCCACAGCCAGCAGCGCTGGTAGCCTGATCCATGAAAAACGCCAATCCTGCTGCATTGTACTTGCATACCGCAGGCCAGCTGTGGAGTGGGTGTACTTTCCAAAACCCAGGAGCCTGCCCAGGCAGCCTGTGAGAACAGTACCAAGGTGGCGAGCTTGGGCACTCGGAGCTTGAGAAAAGCCAGAATTAGCAAGGCTGAGTCAGGCCACTATGGAAGTGCATAACATTGTGGTCTTTACAGGATGCACATTAGTTTTCCCCATGGCCTTTGGCACTGGGAACCAAAGGAGGCTCTAATTTGTAAACCCTACACCTTGTTGGTGGTCTCTGTTGAAAGGGGTGGTGGGGTAGATGGAGGGGCCATCTCGGGCAGGGAGCTGGGTGCTACAGTGGGGTAACACATTTTTCATCTTTTCTCATCCATCCAAAGAGGTGTGCATAGCAGAGAGCAAGTCACTTAACCCTAACGTTCACAGGCTGTGAAACGGTGCCCTCTGTTTTGAGGTACTCAGTTTGAAGGCATTGTGGATTCCCAGTTAGGGTGAGCTATGCTACAGTCAAGTAACATTTCACTGGATAAACTGGGATAAGCTGCCCTGGGAAGCCTGGGCACCCAAAGAGAATATCTGACTTGAAACTCCTGTGTTTTGTTTCTTTTGCTGTCGTGCATAGGGATACCACCTCCCTCTCCCACGTGGATGTTGAGTGACACAAATGAAGCCTTCAACCATCTTCCTGATGGGCCAGATGAAAGCACTGAGGAGCAGCCAGCCCCAGCTGCAGAGCAGGGCAGGAGCACAAAGGCCAGACTGATGGAGATGAGAGAAGGAGGGCATCCCTGCCCTGTCCCATGCAGGATGAGCATCTCCCACCTTCTGGAATGAGCGAGGTCGAAGTCATGTGGGAAAACTGGTGTGTGATCCTGGGAGAAAGGTCTGCTCCTTAGATTAATTGCAGACAAGCTTAATTAGTACAGCATTTCATAACTTTTTGGTGCTTGACAATGCAACCTTGCTTGCTTTGAGCTAATACAGGGAGGGAGGTGTGCATATGCACGCAAGAGAAAGTAGCATCAGTGTTTTGATTAGAACAAGGTTTCTGTCATACACAGATGTATGTCCAACCTGATGCCTGTTTGTTTTCAAGTGATGTGAAGTGAAGGCCCATTCAGTTTCAGCACACTTCTTGGGGCCCGGGCTTTTAATAGCGTGTAATATTTCTGGCAGTAGATGAGAGCTAATATATTGTGTTTAAATCTGGGATGAGTTGTTGACCAGCTGTGGTCTATGTGCAGAGCTATCGAATGCTTTTCTTTGGATCGTGTCAGTTCCAGCCTGCAACCCACATGTGGGTCAGAGGCAGGACTGAGGCGGGCAGAAATAATCCATTTAATCTCACGGAGCCAGGACTGCTCTGCAGAGCATTCGGTGCCATTGTCCTCTAACCATTAAACACCTCGGAAAGTTCTGGGTGAGCTGGCTCCTTTTTCAGTGTTGCTCATTGGTCAGTGGTGGGAGGCTTCTGCCCTTCCGTCTACACCAGAGAGGTAAATTAGTTAAGCAGAGGCATGAATTATTTGCATGCAGATGAGGTGGCGAATGTAACAGCAGAAAAGGAAATGGTTCTCTATAGGTTATTAGTTACTGAAAAAGCAAAGGCACGTCTTTTGTTGCCGCCTTGGCACTGGTCTGACTGTTGAGTAGATACGGATCAATATCCCCCCTTCCTCCTCGCCCCCCTCACTCTTCACATTTTCACTTAGGCTGAGGTGAAGAGGTTTCACTTTAATTTATGTCATTCTTGTATTGCCAAATGCATGCCAGAGCAACCGAACTGGGTGTGATCTGACTCTCTGTTGTGAGCTCTCACATACAATCCCCTCGTGGGAAAATGCTGAGAGAAAATGGAAATTTAAGCGCTGCACCTAGCCACCGCGGTTTTTGGGGTTTTTAATAGGGCTTCATTTGTAAGCTCCTTGGGGCAGAGAGAGCTTTGTTGCATTCAGGGTAGTTGTAGCCCGTAAGTGAGGATTTCTAAATATTACAGCATTGCAGATGATAGTACTGTAAGCAACTTATTCTCTCCATGAACAACAAACACACACACTGTTACTGACTGCAGGATCTCAAAACAAGGTACAAATATTAGTCTTACACCTCAACTTGCACAAGCCTCATGCCTATTCTACAAATGAGTCGGGCATTGTATGGGAAGGTCAACTGACTTGTTCCACACCTTGCTGCCAGTTAGTGGAGGTGCCAATGCCAGGACCCAGCCATCTTGGCTCCTGGGTCCCTGCCCTTGCTGCGAAACTGAGCTTTGGCCTGGAGGTACTGAAATTTCTAGATTGAGAAAAGAAGCCTTTCTTTGAATCTCCATTCCTAGATGAGGTTAAACTTGGGCACATTCCCCTCTGTAGATGCACATCACTGTGTTTAGATCTAAGCGGTTACACTGAAATTAACTGAAAAAAACCCTAAACAACAAAAGCCATTAGGAATAGCATCAATAGGTATTCACATGCTTGAATACCCCAAATCTGAGGGAAATTATAATCTGTATCTGGGCTCTGTGGCTGCGTCCATCCCTACATGTATTTTTGGAGTCAGACTCAGATGGGGTTGATGTGTTCGCTCGTGGTTAACGGGTGCAGAGGGAGTTGGTAGGTAGGAGGCCAGCAGCAAAGGACTGAAATTTAGGATGTTGATGTCTGACAGGTCCCTTAGAGAGTTCTGCAGGGGTGCATGCTGCTTCAGGAGAATGGGCTTGATGGTCAGGCAGGGCTCTTGCTTTCTGGCCTCCTTAATCTGGACAAGTAGCTGAGATTTTGAAGGAAATTGGGCTTCTTCTGTACTCCAGTATAGTCTCCACCCCCCTTCACTCCACAATCTGTTTCTCTGTGGGGTGCTTGCTAGCAGAATAAGGGTAATCCTACCCTAGACAGTAGAATAGGCTGTGCCATGTTGTCCCTGCCCCAGAGGAGCCTGAAACACTTGCACCTGCAGCCACTGTTCCACCTCATCACCTGGGTTTCTTTTTGAGCTCAAGCAAGACAAGTGACTGTGCAACAAACACCACAGTCATTCCTGAATGTTGTATCGGGGGGGGGGGGGTGTGTGCTTAAAAACCTCAACCAGATCTGAGGGAGGGAGGAAATCTGGAGATGGCTCTTAGCTGCTATGTAGGTCATAACTTCACTTGAGAAACACTTGGGTATTCTACGAACAAGGCTCCCAGTGAACACAAGGGGGGTGAGAGGAGCCTGGGCTTCCCTGGGGAACTGTGCTGAACTCCTCCTAAGGGGCTTCAGATTTGGGAGTGGTGGTGGTGGTATTTTTCTGCAGGTTTTGGCAGCAACTGCTGAGGCTGATGTGGGGTCTCTGCAGGAAACAGGCTTTTCTCAAGGGTGATGGAACACTGAGGCTGCTGCATGAGGCTGGAGGCCACACAGGACCCCCCCCAGGTGGGAGGTGTAGGGATGGAGGATGTGGGGCACTTTCCAGTCACTGCCCACAGGGTGGGCAGCATGAACATAGGTGTGTAGTGTATAAGATGAGAGCTTTTAGCAAGCAGATGTAGGGACAGCAATGTTGTTCTAGAAATCAGCTGCATGAAGGCCCCTTCTAATCCAAACTATTCTATGATTCTATTACTGAAGAGACCATGAGTCTTTGGAGCCAAACCAGAGCTGCTTCCCAAGGGCCATGGAACCACCTGCCCTGCCCTTCCCTTGCTGCCATCTCTAATCATGGGCACAATTTTGCTCAGTGGCTCCTGGCCAGGCTTTCTCCGGGCCAACCCAAGGAGGAATGGCGACAGGGAAGTGCCTACTGCACTGCCCAGTTTGCAGCTGCCAGGCTGAGCCCCCAGTGCTGCAGCATTATTGCAAGGGGCCAGAGGAGGTAGTGCAGGGGTTAGGCCAGTGAGGTCCCAGCCAGGGGCCTGTCAGGGCACTGCTGGGATTGCGGCTCTTGCAGGTGCCTTATTGCCCTGCTGATAGGGACATGAGGGTTTTGGCAAATTGGGATGTTCTGGTGAGAAAAAGGTCTCTGCTCAACACCTCACTCACCTTTCTGTGCTTAAAGGGTATTTCCCCAGTTTGCAGTGTCAGAGGGCTGGGCACACCGTGAAGCTGTTTGGATTCTGTGTTGATAAGGCGAGTGCAAACTGTCCCCACAGCTCTCGAGAGCAGAATCAAACTGAAACTTACCACTCAGAGTAGAAAGCACAAAACACCCACAGCTACAGACCTGTACAAATTGCTGCAATATAGGTTAGAAAAGGAGCCCTGTTCTGCACCCGCTGGTCTCATCAAACACACTCAGCCTTCTCTGAATGACTGAGACCAGCGCGTGCTCCCTCCTGCACACCCAGCTAACTTGTCACAGCTCATTAAGCAGGCAGGTTTTCACTTTTCACGTGTCCTTGCTCCCCTTCGCACCTGGCTGCAGTTTCTGCCATGTTTTTAACCTTTGTTTTTTTCGTGACCAGCCGTGGGTAAAGTGAGACCTCCCGGGGGCACCACCCAGCCCCGCTCACCGGGTCCCACCTGGGGACACGGCGCCTGCCTGGCCAGAAGAAACCCAGCCCTAAAGAGTTTCTGCACAGGGCTCTGAGGCTGACCAGAAGAGCAGAGCATGCACAGCGCAGAGTAAAGGTGGGGGAAAGCAAATACTTCCTGTGGTTTGCAGAGGAACAGAGGGCAGAAAGTCCTGACATAGGGAAGCTGGAAACCAAGACTATAATATCCAAGAAAACCCGTATAGACTGCTTCCTGCTGCACTCACCTCTTCCTGCCCCAAAGCTACTCTCTGCTTTGCTCATTTAAAATAGGATTTACCATGTAGAACACAACTGGTATAAGGCAGGAATGTTGGGGTCTCCCTAATCCTAAACCCAGTATCACGTTGTCATGGCAGAGTCCTCAGCATGAGCAAACCAGGAAAAATGTGCTCAGCCTTTGATTTTACTGTGCATGGTTTCAATATTGCAGCTTCTTTTCCCAGCGCAGTGCAGCCACTTTGGGCAGGAATGCTGTAAGGAATCTCACTCAGTCCTTGGATAAGGAAATGATCAAGGACTTGCCTATTCACAATTAATGGAAAAAAAGGAGCTGAAAGCCTTTATTAATCATTGCACAATAAGGAAGTCGCACTGGTTTGGCTTCCTTCAATAGGGCTATTGGGTCACACCTACCTAAGTGGTTTGGCATCCCAACCATCTCCCCGCAGAGGAGGGAAGGGCCACTGGCCTGTGTGCCACCAGGAAGCCTGGCCACGAGCTCTGAGTGCCCATCTTCCTTTCCTTGAGAGACAGACATCTCTTTTTAGAGATGTTCAAGATGTTGCAAGTGTTCAAGGCAGGGCTGGAGGCGGCTTTGAGCAGCCCGCTGTAGTGGAAGATGTCCCTGTTGGAAGCAGATGATCTTTAAGGTCCCTTCCAACCCAAACCTTTTCTGATTCTGTGATCTCTGCCCCACACACACAGCAGCACTGCCTGGCCCATGATCTGGGCATGGGTTCCTGCCCCAAGCCATGGCATCGAAAAAGAGCAGAAGTTTATGCATGCCCTGTGCCAGAGATTACCCTCTGCCAGCTGTGGGGGTCCTTGCTGGGAAGGGTATATATACCTCCCCAGGGGAGGTGCCACCTGCCCAGTGACCACAACTCCTTGCCCTGCTCCTGGAACCTGGCTTGCCTTTCACAGCAGCCTGTCTGTTCAACTCCCAGCTCCAGACAGCAGTCTGTGGCCAGATGTGATGGCTGACAGGTGCCTCTGAAGTGCCAAGAGACAGATGTTCAGGCACTGGCTTTGGCTGGTGCACGGGGCCACATTGCCCTGCCCTTGGAGATGGTGCTGGGGAGAATTTTGTAGTGAGTGGTAGGACATAGACTCATAGAATGGTTTGGGTTGGAAAGGACCTTAAAGATCATCCAGTTCCAACGGCATCAGTGCAGGATGAGACAACACTTCAGGAGCCCTTCTTTCTCTCAGGTGTCTTTCCTAGATGACCTTTTGCAGAGCTGAATGGCCTGAACCAGCAGAGCCTGTGCTGCCTGGAGGTGGAAAGCATCATCTAATCGTCCCTGCGCCTGGTTTTCCTGCACAGGCTGCCATCCGACTTGTGTCAAGCTGCAAGCTGTCACAGTGGAGGCAAGGAGGCTTGGCTTTGAAGCAAAAGGTGATGTCTGCTTGCATGTGCCTCTAAGCAATTGACATCTGACACCCCAGCATGGGACAAGAATGCAACCCTGCATCTGCAGCAGGCACTGAGGCAGCAGTAGCTTGGTGAGGGTTAGCAGTTCCTCACCCCTTTGGCCACCACTATGAACTGCTGGGAAATCTTCCCCAACCTCTTTTATAAATGAGCAAAAGCAAAGTCATGCATCTTGAGCCTTCTGCCATTGACTGCAGTTAGTGCAAATGTGGCCTTAGTGGGTGTGCAAATGTGCTACCTGCCTGCACTTCCACATGCTGCTTCTGAGAATGAGAATGGCAGGTGCTGGCTGCAGGTTGGCCCTTCGTCAGCATCCGATGAGAAACTGAACACCTGTGCTTTTGGGAAGTGGTGTGTCTTTGGCGAAAAGCCATGTTTCTGTGCTGTTCAGGTAGGACTGGGTAGTGCTGAAGTCACCAAAATTCCCATCTGTGCCCACACATCCCAGCTCAGGCAGCTGCCCTTTCCCTGCCAGTGTACCCTGGCCAGTCGCAAAGGACGAGGGAGACGTCCCTCTCGCTGCAGGGCAGCTCCCTGATGCTGGTGGTGAGTTTTGCTTAGGCCACCATGACAGCTTGTGTTTTGCAGATACCTGCCCCATGACGGGCACATTCCTCGGCCGCACCGCATCCACTCAGCCCTGGCTCATGCAGTAATTAGCCAAGTGTTTCCTTGGCTGCCTTTAATTACAGACACAACTATTTCCCTCGCTCTAACGTAATGCCTCTGAACGACAGCAAAGGTTTTGGGCTGCATCCCGCGCAGTCCCAGCACATGTTGGGACGCGGCCGTGCATCGGCAGTCACTGATTTGAACCTGAAGGGCTCATACCCCCTCGGTGAGTCACGTTTTTCATTTTCGACCTCAAGGCTGTAATTGCCGCACTGGGAATTAGCGGTGTCTCCCCCAGCACTCAGCTGAGAGGCACCGTGCTTTATAAACCAGCCAGAAGGGAGGGATCACACGATCACAGAATCATTTGGGGTGGAAGGGACCTCTGGGAATCATCCAGTCCAAGGTGAAACCTCCTGTGTTTTAGTTTATAGCCATTGCTCCTTGTCCTGTCGCTGGGCATCACTGAAAAAAGTCTGGTACCATGTTCCTGGCACCCGCCTTTGGGATATTTACAAGCATTAATGAGATCCCCTCTCAGCCTTCTCTTCTCTAGACTAAACGGGCCCACCTCCTGCAATCTCTCCTCAGAAGAGAGGTGCTCCAGACCCCTGATCATCCTTGTGGCCTTCCACTGGACCCTCTCCAAGAGCAACTTGTCTTGTACTAAGGAGCCCAGCACTGGACATGGTACTCCAGATGTAGCGTCATCAGAGTGCAGTAGACAGGGAAGATCACCTCCCTCTACCACCTGCTGGCCACACTCCTGATGCACCCCAGGGATCATCCTTAGATCTGTGTTTGAGTCTATCTCAGCTGTATTTCACCCTGTTTAGTGGCAAAACAGCTCAGCTGGCAAAGCCCCGGAAGGAAAATGCACGTTGCCTTCCCGGCCACATCATGCTTGGTCGCCACCATTTTCACACTGGTGGCAGCAAGGTTCACATCGAGCCTGTCTGCCTGCAGCTCTGTGCTGGGGGTGCATGGCTTTGCAGGGCTGCACTTTACGGCAGCATCCAGAAGGAGAAGCTTTCCTGCCCTGCACCTTGCTGAGGCTGTTAGGGTTAGCTGACCTGGTGGTGCTGTTGCCACGGCTGAAACCTGCCATATTTCTGGTTGCAGCACATGCCCTCAGCGGCTTCCAGTGGCTGGGGGCTGCCAGAAACCCAGGCAGCAGCTGCCAGGCTCGGCCTTGCGAGGCTGTGATCTATAACGTGCATTGTCTTTTTATGTAATGTGTTTTATTAAACATCTTCTAAAGCTTACAAGTGTCCCCAGGACATAACTCTCCAGTGCAATGCAACGCTCTGCCAAGAAATGAAGTATGATTTATGGCGGTAACGGTTATCCTCTGCTTTTCTTAAAAAACATTATTACAGCAATAGCTCTGTCGAGTACAGGACTGTAACATGCTGCATTTGGCACGTTTATGACAACAGTGCTCTGGTTTTCTTAACTCCACAGCTCGGTGCTGGCAGTATGTCAAATTCTTGAGACAGATGTTTAAATGAATTTTTTAAGAGGACAGTGAAATACTTCTAAAACATCATACGGCACTGAGTGTCTCAATATGAGCAGCAACATTATTTCTTTAGCGTGCAGGTAGGGCAGGGCAGCACATGGCCTCTCTGGTTTCAATCTCACAGTAAATGATGGAAGTAGCAAATGTTGAATTAGCTTTCTGGGCATCCCGGCCTGCTGTGGCTTTCTGGCCAAGGTGGGGGAATGAACGGGCGTTTGACGTGCTGGATATCACTCGCATTCGTGTATCCTTTGTGAGCAGTGAAAACAGATCCCCGTTTGTTTTGAATGCAGTTCCCACCATGTTGATACAGGACTAAGTGGTCTCACGCTGACATTGTGACTGTGTCATTGTGGTCCCAGTGGTTAGGGTTTCAGGCCAGAAATGACAATCATTTGGGAAAATGTAAATGAGAACCCTGCTCGCATCTCTGCAAGGCACAGAGCAGTCGAGAATTTCCATCAAAACACTGAAAATTCTTGGGGTTTAAAAAAGCAATCATCCCATTTTGGTTTTTTAGGTACTGGCTCAGGCAAGGAGAGCGCTGTAGTTAACAAAGCCAGGGTGTTCAGCTCTGGCATGGCTGCTCGCAGCTTTCCAGCACGGAAAACCAGGAACCCACAAAGGCAGAAGTCAGCATTGTCGGAGACATCATCGCCCTCGGCACAGAGTGTGTTTGCGGCTGGGAGGGGAGGGCGCCCCACAACGAGGCTCCGCACACATGCTCTCAGATTGAAGACAAGGGAAGCATTGGTAAAGCAATGAACACTTATATTTAATTTACATTTGACAATTTGCACATAAATAATGATGTAAACCAATACGTAAACATAGGATAGTTTGTTGTCCTAGCAAAGTAAAAAGATGTTAACTTTGGTCAGAGTCTTTCTTAAGAGAGACAAAAAAAAACCACCCCAAAACACTGTTGATTCTTGCTACATTCACATGTAAAACGTCTAAGGGAAGGGGGAAACAGTAAAGAGAAGTAACAATTCTTAAAGCTGATGCATATAAATTCTTGTAAAATTTGTATCAAATACAAGAAAGCACTACAGGCAAATAATAGGAAAAGTGTGTGTCCAGTGATAGAGTAGTGATACTTTGGTTTATCCTACAAGTAAGTACTATATTTATGAACTATTGCTACATTTAAAAGATGTCAGCCTCACAATTTGCAGGAGTGGAAATGTAATGAACTGTAGGTAGTCCTTCAAAAGCTGTGTGGAGAGACTTGTATTTTGAGATTGTCTGGTTTTAAACTGAAGGCATTAAAAGGAAGTTTGCTGATAAAAACCAGCAAGTCCTGGATTGCTGCAGTGGGCTACTTTAACATTCGTAAGACTATAACCCGGCAAAAAGGTACAGATAGCAGGAGGTGTGCAATAATGCTACTTATAGTTTGCAAGTTGACTGTGCAACTTGTTCATGGCAGGGTAAAACAAGATGAGGGGCTCATCCCACTGGAATTCCATCCTGCCCCATGCCACACACGGGTCCTATTTGGCTTCTGTTCAGGTTCTTTTAGCGATGATTTCTGGCTCCGTTTGGTCAGTGACCACCCACCTCCTTCCCTGCTGTACATGCTGCTGGGAGAGCAGGGGACTGATGGGTGGACCCCTATCCTGCAAACAGGGTCGTTCCTGCTGTGACACCATGTGTGGGTGACATTGCTCGGGTAAGGTGTTTGCAAGCTGGGGCTACACCCGGAGTAAACGCCTTAATACAACCTTCTCCTGGGTTTGAGGTCATTCGTAATATGCAAAACTGGATAACATTTGATTTTCACGCTTAGATGAAAAATAGGTTTTATTACATGGTTTGGCTCACAACTTAAGTGGTATAAATATATATACATATACATATATAGTATAGTGGTATAAATATATCTATAAATATACATGTATCTTTGCTACACCTCAAACGTCATCTTTGGGCTTAGCAAAACAAAAAGATAAAAGGACGTGCATTCTATCTTTCCCTGTGCACATTTTGGTTTCTTCTCTAAAGTAGCAAAGCATTTAGATAAAACAGCATTGTCTGCACCACTGGACACAAGCACTGAGGTAATTGTTGTTCAACAACTTTGCAATGCCCTTTTCTTCTTTAATTAAATTAATCACAAAATGTACAAACACAAATACTGAGAAAAATCTGAATCATACATGAAGGAAGGAGAAAAATGTATGTGCCAGGAAAGGACTTTGTTCCCCACTTCTACCCAGGCAAAGTGGGAGAGGAAAATACAAGTAAAACTGAACCCCTTCTTGCCCAGGGAATCTGACCATCTTTTATTTTTTTTTATCCCTGGAAGGCTCTGGCCAAATGAAAAACAAAAATAAAAGGAAAGAGAAGAAACAAGTCTGACAAACCCCTCCTTTTAGGCAGAATATTAAGAATATTTGTGTGTTTGCTTTTAAATTGCTTTTGGAAAAGGAATAGTGTACGTGGGATTGTGTTTTGGAAGAGCCACTTGAAGCTCATGCATTCCTTTGGTCATCAAGTTACACGACAATGTAAATGTGGGACTAAATGATGAAACGACAATGTGGGGCTAAAGCTGTGTCCTAAAAACCTGTGGGATCACTGTCCATGGCAGGTGGGTGTTTGCTGTGCCACATCTGCTCCCCGGACAGCTGCAGGGAGAAGAACCTCTCTCCTATCCTCAGAAAGCCAGGGGCAGCACTTTCATCCCTGCTTGCTGCTACTCTGGGTTGGTTCTTTTTTTGTTTCCCATTCCAATTCCCAGTGGGGTGATCTGCACATAAAAGTAGACAGTGTTTTTTTTCAAACCAACAGATCTAGGATTCTGCATGTCTAATGTCCAACTTTGGCAACAGGAAAAACCACATTTGTTTAAAAGACATCGGTACATAAAACACATTTACGGAAACCCCAATCTTAGGTTCTTGAAACAGATGTGCAGGAAAAAAAAAAAAAAGTATCTACAAAGAATGGCCATAAAACAAAAATTAAAAACATTTAAAGTAAAAATTACAATGAATTTTCCAGTCATTGTAAACATTTTCCTAATTATTGCTTTTAGAATGATTAATTGCATAATAAATTATGAAGTACTATTATTGAAAAAATAATTATGGATAGATGATTGTCTCTTAATAACTGGCGAGGCAATGCACAGTCCTTTGCCCCTTTTTATGCCCTGAGAAAACAGTAACTTCGGAGTTCCTTGTTTCAGTGGGAGAGCGTAGAGAAACTACTGTAAGCCAAGATTGCTTTGCAGCATTGAAACTATGTACAAGCAACTGCTACAGGCACCCTGACTTGCCAAGTCATAAATTAAAAAAAGAAATCACTTTGCCGAAAAGTCTTAAGGGTCCATTGGTTCAACTGTTTCTTGCTTGACCTTTACAGGTAACAGAGGTAGTGGGTGACCGTGAGGCAACTTCATAATTGACATATCTGACGACTCGTAAAGGTTGCATCCTGAGGAGATAAGTCCATTTCCCAGGTTCCTCTGCAGAGAGACTTTCAGATTAGCTCCTTCCATTTCCCGCCTGAGCATGGTCAGTATATCCTTCTCCACGATTGATGTTAAGTCGATATTGTCCTCCACTTCTTCCAACTTGTCAGCATTGTCACTGATGTCAAACTTCTCTATCTCCTCATTGATTCGATTCAGCTCCTCCATGGACAGGCCAGAGGCAGGGGCAACAGGGCAGTTGCCCTTCAGGTGGACCTGGAGGCTGCAGAGGTGAATGTAGCTCTTATGGCAGTGGATGCATTTATGGGGACGCTCCCGGGTGTGAAGACGCTTGTGCAGCTTGAGGTGCACAAACTGGGTGAATTTGGCTGGGCAGAGCTTGCACTGGTAAGGCTTCTCTCCAGAGTGGAGCCTCAGGTGGGTTTTGAGATTGCTGGTGCTGCTGAACCGCTTGTGACAAACCTAATGTGGGGGGTGGCAGAGAAACAGTGAATGAGTGGGAGGAGATTTTATGGTTTAAAACACAGACACCTAGGAGGAGATGGCAGGATGAAGCAGAAGTTTTTTATATATTTTATGTATTTTCATGCTTTCTCACAAAGGGGAAAAAATCCCCACCTTTTGTATTTAAGTATTGCTGAGCAGCATTTTGAGCACGGCTGATGGCAAAACTGTATCAGGCTGATGTTGCTCTAGCAGGCTAAGGGCAACCCTGCCATCTCCCAGGTGCTGCTGCACCAGGGCTGGAAGTGGCTGTGATACAGACTCCATCCTTGAGCAGCCAAGGGCTGGTCACACAGCTCTCCCTGCCTGCTGCCCAGCCGTCCCTTTGGGAACATTATCTCTGTGATGTTACGTACCTGACACTCGTGGGGTTTTTCTCCTGTGTGTACCAGGTAGTGCTTCTGGAGGTGAGCCAGCTGTGTGAAGCCTTTATTGCAAGTCTGGCATTTAAATGGTCTCTCTCCGCTGTGCACTCGGAGGTGCACCTAGGGAGAAACAAAGCAAATTAGCAGTTTGCAGTCTTCAGTACTGTAACAAAAGTATTTTCAGGTGTTTCCCTCAGTTAGCAGAAGACTCGCATTGCCAAAACACAATGTTATCTAGTTAATTAGGTGGTGTGGGTATTAAAACTGTCTTTACAGCCATGCTTTCTTGCTGGCGGTGCCATATTAAGCCCAGACTGACACAAAGCCTAACAAGCAAGGGAGGTCCATCCTTGCTTTTGCTAGATATCCTACAGGGATAAATCAGAGCCTTCCAAGAAGGCTTGTGTCTCATCTTCTGCTGCCTACCTTCAGATTGGAGAGCTGGCCAAAGGTCTTCGAGCAAACGTTGCATTCGTACTTGATCTTTCCGTTCTGCTTCTTCAGTGGGTATGGGAGGGTTTTGTAACCGGTCACATTCCTCTTACTTTTAATGAGATTCATGGCTTCTTCACCACCGGTGGCAGCCAACACCACTGAGGTAGGTTTAGGTTGCATTATGTGTTCTGAACTGGCTGCTGTACCAGCTGTGGGTGACCCGCTGGTAGGGCTGCATGGCTTGTCCTTCATGCTGGCAGCAGCGCCCGTGACAGAGAAGGCACTGTTAGGTGCTGGTATGAGGAAGTCTCTTGGATGATCAGGCTGCAGCAATCGACGGCCTCCTTCACTAGGCAATGAACTGGGGAGTGTGGTGGGGTTCAGCATATGGTTGGAAAGGCTACCTCCACTGAGCAGGTTGCCATAGAGAGGGTACATCCTTGGGAAGAGATTGAAATTGTTGATGCCATTGATATTGTTCAAAGCGCTCAGGTTATTACAGCTCATATTGAATGGAGGTATCAGGAATTTGGGGTAGTGGGGGTTATAGGACGGTAGAAAGGCAGGTGGAAGGTGGCCAGGGGGTGCATATCCCGGATAAGACCCCAATCCTTCCGAGCCATATGATCCATTCAAGTAAGAGTACGGCTCTCTGTGCTCTTGGGAAGTGGGTGCCAGGGGCGAAACCGTGACCCCTGGACTGCTGTGAGGGCTTGAACTTTTTAAGCTTTGGTCTGGGCTGCTCCTCCCAGAAGGACTCGGTGTAGTGGATGTCTGGATGGGTGAGTGAGTAATGTAGCTGGGTCTGTCCATCCCGTATGCTAAGGAAGCTTTCAGATAGTCTTCTGGAATGTGAGGTCGGATTGGGTAGACAACTCGAGGGAAGAAACACCTCTCTGGGCTATAGTTCTTACGCAAATCATCCAAGTCTTTTTCTGGAGTAACTGGTGAAATGTTGGTCTGGAAGAAATCTTTTCCTTTTGGAGGATTGGATTCCATTTTCAGGATTTCTTTCACACTGTGCTCCTTCTTTGGGATGCTTTTCTGATAGAGCTCATCTTTATCAGCACTGTGCTGCTTTGGATTAACGTTGGTTTGTGCTGAAATATAAAGGCAAGATAATAATTATTTAGATATGCCACTGTCATTATCTCTTTTCAAAACAGAATCTAATTCCCACAAGTTTTCTGGGGAGGAGGAGCCACTCTCAGAGATGAGGAACCATTTCACTCACCAAAAAACTGATTTCTATGTGAAGAAATGCCTGCTGGTAGTACGTGTTGATAAACAGCATTGTTAATTTAAGGAATACCAGCCAGTACATACAGATCTGGATGATGATTCATTTGCAGAGAGCTAGTCTCTACTTTACAAACTGATTTCACCTTTCTTACCCCTTAAATTTGACTAACTGAACGTCCATTTAGGCAGTATTTCTAATAAATGTGGTAACAAGCATTTGTTCACAATACAGGTTCAACAGAAGGACTTTGCAGAACATAAGCTCCTAGAAATGTTCCTCAGTAAAATAACAAGGCATGACAAATCGGCTTTTGCCAAACCGCAGCAGTCACTTCACCAGCCAGTTCAATTACTTACAGTACCAAAAAAACCATGGCTGGCTGGGATGAAAGCTGCCTTCAAAGAGAAGGTATTCTCCATCAGTAAACAGATCATTACTCATTAAATATACTGCTTAGGAACATCTACAACAAAGCAGACTATTTACTGCAGATTTCTCTGGCATTTGGTCTATTCAAAGCTCCTCTGCTTACAGCTGTACTTTATAAAAAAAACTGCTGAAGCAAAGCAAAAGGAAGCAAGAGCGGTTGGCTCCAGCTTAAGTTGAAATGTACTTTAAAGGAAAAAAATAGAAAGGAAAAAGAAATATTTATTTAGAAGGAAATAGAAGCTAGCATCCATTTGGCTCAGTTCAGCACATACACTGTTTATTTGTATTCAAATGATCGACCTTGTTATCTGGATATAATATAATATGAAGAGTGTACTGAAAGATGTCTTCAATAGAAAAAGAAGTATGCTTTTATCTCATCTCCCACAGTTAATAGTTATATAATCACGAAATGATGTCTTGTAAGATATTTTATTACAGGGCAAAAACTACAAGGAAGGTTTCATATTCGTGCTTAGTTATGTGCAAAGTTTTCCATCAGGAGGTACAAGTCAATGTCGCTAAGTATGCAACTTGAAAGTATCGCAGCCCTGCCGACAAGTTTCTGCTTCTGTGGCTCACTGATCTTACTTCACTAACTGAGGTGAGAAACTGTTATTTCTGATCTTTGGAGGACCAGCTGAACCCAGTAAGGAAGATGGGAACAGGCAATGATCACGCCACTTTCAACACTGATTCTTTGCTTCGCTGTTCACTACCCTGATGGAATCTATCATTTGGCAACATTACCCTATAAGGCAAGGAAATGGCCATTTATAAAACGTACCAAAAAAAAAACAGCTGCTTTCAAAGCTTGCTCCTTCTCACAGCAACCCATTTGTACAGTAGCATCCTTCCTGAAACACTGGTAGCCTAGCAAGCAAATTTAGTTTTGACATGTGGGCAGTTTGTGTATTTCCAAGTTGCAATGAAATGCTACTGAACATGGTTATGTTCAATAATATATTTAGGATAAAGCATAGGGTGTGTTGCACAGCAAGCACGTACGCATGTAAGTGTGCAGAGAGCTTCCCAATTTCTTCTTTTGATGTTAAAGCTTAATGCAGGGCTGTTTCAAAAATAAATTAATAGTATGTTGTGTTGAATGGTATTTAAAATCATGTACTTTCTTTGATAGTTTTCTCTGTACTTGTGGATTAGTAACTCATTTTCTAAACGTCTACCCGGATTTTTGGGTATAACATAGACAGTATGTTACACTCACTAGATTCAAGAAGCTCCACAAGGGCCCTTTAGGATAATATTATCTACATCTTCTTATCAGCTGCCTGCCACCACGCCACCAAACATTCCCAGTGATGCTATCAGCACTGGGAAGTATGGAAAGGGGGAAGTACTGAAAGCTGGGTGGGGGTGGGAAGTAGGACTTGTGAAGCCTCGCAGAAGAGAAAATAAATAAATACCATCTCCTTATCAGCCCCGTATCAGTTTCTCAGTGGGGTCTGTCAAGCAGGAAGTTCAAATTGACACTTTTCTCTCTTAAAGAAAAAAGCTCCAGGGAGAGGGGAAGAGGAGGAAGTGCTGGCGCTGCTGGAAAAGTGATAGAGAAACCAGGACTGCTTCAACGGGAAGAACGCTCCTGCTGTCACCAGGTTGAACCTCAGGGTGGGGATGTACGTGCTTTACACGCCGGAGCAAGCCCATGAATGACAGAAAGGAAGCCGAGAATGTAACTTTCTTTGTGCAACAGGCCCATGTCCCCACATGACAGACAACAGGTAATTGCTCTTTCCTTCCCTTCAAAGTGTTCCCAGTAAAGCCTTCCCTCCTACTAATTTCCATGTGCAGAGAGCACTTGCAACATTTAAAGATTATTTTTCAAGTCTAACTGTGATTGCTTTCTTCAGTTTGCTTTGGTCCATAATGGCTCCTTGGCTTTTTCCCCTATTACCTGAGCACAATGAACCCTTGAAAACACCAGAGATATCAAAACATAAACAAGTGTGTCAGCACTGTGTAAAGTAAGAGAAGGTAATGTTGAGGGCCAAGGAGAGGTTCTCATGTTTTATACTGAACATGGATTTAAACCAGGGCTGAGACTGATTGAGAGGTTTACAACCTTTCTCATTGCTCTTAAAGGAGCCGTATACTTCAAAGTTAAAGAGATGTATTTCTTATAAATGGATTTTTGTTTTAAAACTTGTGATTTCAGATTTCAGTTCTTCCCCATCACATCTCCCTCTCACTCTTGAAATGCATTTCTCCCTCCCACCCCCATACACACATATATATATATATATATATATACACTAAACATAGGCGCATACTCTTCCAAGATCTGTCTATTTTCTGTGGTTGGCAGGACACACAGAAAGGAGGTTCATGACAAAACAAGAACAGTGCAGCTGCATTTCTAAGTTACTGATCTGAGGGGAGAGAGGGGGAAAAAAGAAAGAAAAAACCCAGATGTGCCTCTTTAAGGAGCCTGATCCACTTCTAACCAAGGCCAACAGATTATTTGCTCAGACCTGAGATTAGTGAGTGTGCGCAAGAGGCAAAGGAACAAAACTCACGTTACTTTTAAGTATTAGTAAGACTTGAGTGGAGGGGCTGCCTGGAGTCACTCCAATGTGGGTGTTCCAGCTACACCCTTCTGCATGGCTGTAGGCTTTGCTCTCATTTCTTGTGCTCTGAGCTGTAGCCTGAGAGAGACTTCAGAAAAACAATGATGTTTTCTTCTAAAACCTGAAAAACGGTTGTAGGCAGGCAGTAATCTTAATAGTAATTTCAGCAGCGAGATGGTACCGAACACTTTGGGAGGTGGAGATTAATTATGCCAATTCACATTTTCGGTATAAACTAAGCACCAATTTTACTAGTAGAAAGAGAACCTCAAAGTTGTGAAGCAGGCAAAACAAAAAGTGTTCCCACTCAAAATGAGAACAGAGACCAACATTCAGAAGCATATAATCTGATCATCTGTTTTCTGAATGTGTCCAAGGCAGGGTGACATGCCTTTGAAAACATTCTGCCCTGATAAGGTCTTTGAGGGAGCCTTCGAGTACTTGACCCAGTATTAAGTCAAATTCAGCTCCCAAATTCCGGGTTTGTGAAGACAACTTTTCATATAATTTCAAAATAATTTTCCTGAGCCCTTTTGAAGATTCCAGGAGGCACTTTTTTAAGCAAGTGCAGATGTTTCCTCTCAACCCAAACAGAAAGGCTTCAAAACCTGAAAGTGAAACTGCCCATAAACAAAAGGGAAAGCAAGTGGCAGAGTTTAGCTAACGGCCAGCCTGTCAGGGCCAGCAGGAAAAAGAAAAGAATAAATCACATTTAAAAACAAGAATTGAAAAGTTCATCTGCACAGAATCCAAAAGGGTTTAAATAAATATTTAAATTTAACCTTTACATTCAACCTTGTTAAACCTGTTAGTGAAACAGAAAGATTGCCAAATGTTTCGCAAATGCAAATTGCATTCCCCCCAACTCAAACTCTTTTCCTGAAGCTTGACCAGAAGATGTCACCTGCCCGTACTTGACTGAGGAGACAAACACGACATGAGCAGCAGGAAATTGCATCACGTGATTGCAATACGTGAACATTATTATCAAATAGTCACAGCCTGAGTCAACATGTTTGGAGGGACTGATTTATTTATTTATTTTAAACTGTTACCCTCTCCACCTTCCATCCCAAAATAATCCTCCTACGATGAGGTAAGAATGAAATGCTGAACTATGTGGGACTAGGAAAACAAATTTCCTCGGTCTGTTTGCTAGCCCAAAAATAAAATATCACAGACTAAAATACAACCTGAGGGCCCAGCTGAATGAGGTTAAGCAGCACATTTAACAAACTAATTACCAAAATCTGATTTCTTGGCCAGCAGAATACGGGAATCTTGTGCGATCGCACTTAAAACCATTTACTGGACAAGGGCACCATCTGAGGGTGACATCTCAAATCTTGATAAAAAAACAACTGTCATCACAGAAAGCATCAGTGGCCTCAGAACACGCAGGAAAGTTATTTAAAACAAGACCGAGTATCCACTGCTGGGATAATGTGGAGTCTTGCCTCTACCACTATTGTGCAACTCCTTGCATGCACTTCAACATCCACTCCAAGTTACGTAGCTCCACTCAGAGCTAATCATGGCTGTGAAGGTAGGTGTGTGCTTCAGCGTCTGAAGGACTGGGTCAAAGGCCCTACTTCAAGAAAACACAGAGGACAGGCTTAAACCCATAACTAAGTACGTGCCTAATTGCTGTCTTGAATCTGGATGCTTTCCTTCTACAGCACAAATGGACTAACGCTGGAGAAGTTTCCTTTAATTTGAAAGTTCGCTGTTACAGAGGCAAGTAGATGTTATGTGTGGATGTGTAAATATATTTATGTTCTAAAGTGGTAGTTCTCTCATTTTTGAGGCCACTAATTACAGGAAATAAAGCCAGAGAAATTCTCTGATACATTCTTCCCTGGAGGCCCATCCTGCTCAGGTGCTTAAAGAGCAGCTGAGGTTCTGAACTCCAAGACCGTGATCCCCAACCCCCTGAGGCACCTAAAGCAGCTACCTATATTTTAAGTTGGCAAGACTGGAAGCTCTCCGTAGGTGTGTGTGTCCCAGGTGGCCTCTCCTGTGCTGGGCTGGGCAACCAGCCAAAGCACAGCTCTTCCGAAGCCTCCCGCGGGCACCGGCGTGCTCTGCACACCCAAGACACAGTGAAGGGAGGGAAGGATCGGCCATGGGCTGGCAGTGCTGCTGCCCCATGTGTCCCGGCAGGAGGAAGCCCTCACTTCAGCCTGTGGTGGGACCTCCCTGTGACTCTCCCTCCCTCAGAGGGTGCCAAAGACTGCAGCCAGGGGCTGGGGCCTGCTCCTCTGAGGGAAGCCACGCCATTTTAAACACGGAATTATTAGTGATCCATTTGGCTGGAGAAGGCTTTCCTGACTTTCTAGCAGGTGGAGGAGGTGATCAGCAGGAGGCCCCCCAAGCAAGACTGTGTTAAGATGTTCTGAGGGGGCAAAGCCCCACTTCTGCAGCAGGTGCAGGATGCTAGTGATTCTGCACTTTATTCATAGATGAATGCAGTGTGAGGGCACCTTGGCCAGGCTTGCAAGAGAGGGAGAGGCTGGAGAGGCAGCAGGATGATCACTAATTTTAGCTTTAAATAAAGGAAGTAGCCTGAGAGGAAGGGGAAGAAGAAAACTGAACAGTGCTGATATTCACTTTAAACTTATCTAGTTCCAGTACTAATGCTGAAAAAGCCATCCCTGTTTCCACTGTTGCTGCAGGGCCTTCAGCACACAAGCATCTTTGTGAGACCTCTGGACTTTTTTCTGTACTTTTCAAGAAAAGTACTTTAGAAAACCTCAGTCCATAAGGTCCCTGTCGGGTTTCTGGCCCAGCTGCAGGCTTTCAGCCTGAATGTGTTTGTGACAAAGATGAAGGGAAAAGACATAAAAAGTGATAACTTTTTCTAATTTCTCTCAACTGCTGGTTTCTTTGCTGGAGGGAGACTAACATAAAATTTGTAAGTGGTTTAAACAGAACTATATTTTCAAAGAAGAAGGAATATTTCCATCTCAGCATCTGGAAAGACTGCTCTTTTGAATGTTAAAGCTGAGCTACGCAACTGTTGCTCAAGATCCTGTCTCTAGACCCATGCATAGAACTTGCTTTTACTACAATGGATTATTCTGCTCATGTTCAGACACCCCTAGTTTTGACCTGAGTAAAAGTAACCATGGAACTAGTTGACACTTTACAAATACATTCCTCATTACTGCTGCAAGGCAACCTGAGATGCCAGCATATGCAGGAAACAGAGGCTGCATTTGTGTTTCCTCCTAGCTAGTGGCCAAATGTGTCTGGCTGGATCTTTGCAAACTCCTCATCCACAGAAATCCTTACCGCTGTTGTGTCATCCCACCTGCAAGTCCCACTGAAAAGCCAACAGTTCATCAGATCTGAAAATAAAACCGCCCAGTGAGTGGTGAAATGACACATGTGCAAAGATGACAGAATCAGTGAGATATTTCTTGAACAGGGAATATAGCAGCATAGGACATCCTCTCCCTCGCTTCCCTCTGCCACTAAGAGAAAGCACATTTTCTTCTATAATTTGCAGGGAAAGACCAAAAACTGGTGTAAGGATGACAGCCATGGAGAACATACATACTCTTGATTAATGTGAATGTGTGACATCATTTTCATGATGCAGGGTTATATTTTAACTCTAATAATCCCCAAAGTAACACTGCTATTTTATAGCCCATTATTTGTTGCCAAATAACAGCAAATAGTTCTTTTTACAAAAAAAAAAAAAAAAAAGAAACCAAAAAACCTGCTTGCAGGCTTTCCTTCAAATCTCAGTGTAGGTGCTGGCCAAAGGACAAAAGAATGCTCTTCTCTATCTCAGCACAGCTAGCAGGAGGGGATGCAGCCTAAGAGTCGAGTAAGAAGTCAGCAAAAATCATTCCCTCTCTTCAAGGGGCTCTGGGTGAGGTGCTAGGCAGTGATTAAGCTGGAAGTGATTGAGTAAAGTGCTGGGGCTGGAAATGGTCAGACACCACAGCAGAACACAGAGATAAACTCCTGGAAATACCTCGGCCCCTTGCTACCAGTGCTATTACTTTTGAACAGAAAATGAAAGCTGTGATACACAGCCAAGAAATGCGGACGAGCTTACAAAACAAGTAAGCAGAGGAGAAGACCACAGGAGCTTTGCTCCTGTAAGATGAAGCGTAAATGCAAGGCTCAGGGAGCATTATGCAGTAAACGTATTTTGTCAGACACCTAGACAGAGCCATGGCACATGGCCACTTCCTTGTACAGTGAGGGCGGCCCTTTGGGAGCATGACTGGACAGGCTTTTAGTATATGCTATCAAAGCAGACTTTTGCTCAACAGTATGAGATCTGGACCTGGAAAGCCTGAGAGTGAACCGACATCTGTAATTCTGAAGGCAGAGGACAGCTGTCAGTCCAGAATTTCATCGGACAAGACTCAGTTTGTAAACCAGCAACTGTTCAGATTTTTTATAATCTGTTTACATTTGAATGGGCTCAGGGAACTCGTTCTGTTTTGTTGGGTTTTTTAATTCTCCTTTTCCACTCTGAGCTACCTACTGTGACACAACAGATGATGCAGCTGTGTAATTATACAACTTATTATTAGATCATATAAGCAGAAGAGACATTACTAGCATTCCTTGTTTATGCTGTAATCCACTTACTGAGGTTCATCATTGTCAGCTCTCTGGAGGAGGGATAGTGCAGCCTCTCTGCAAAGTCTCTGCAATACCACACAAGCAGCTCTTGGTTGGCAGGGATGGGCTTGATGGTGTAGAAGTAGATGTTCATTCCATTCTGACAAGCAGCCAAGTTCTGTTCCTGAACAGAGTAGCCAGGGTTTACATAACGCATCCAGTTGCTCTTGTCTTCATTAAATCCGTCAATAAAGTGGTGAAGCTCACCACTTGAATATATCTGGAACAGAGAGGAAGTGCTTATGAATATATACATGCACAATACACAGCACGTGTGCAGAGTCCAGAGGAGAGAAGTGATAAGCTTTTTTCTTTTTTTTTTAATGAGCAGATTTTACTGAAATAAGACTCAAACTAGGTTCCCCACTTTCCGCTGTGTTAAGAACAGAGCTGATTAGTCGAAGGTAAGTTGACAATCGCCTTTTCCATCTCTGTTTAGTCTGGTCTCTCCTAGTATGGACAAATCAGACCCAAAATCTGAAATACAGAGTACTCTCCCCACGGGAACAGTCTACCTGCCTGTGTGAATAGTCTACCTCAAGAGTCCTTTTCCTGGTGCTAGGATCAACAAGTGGGTGATGCTGATGACTGCAGGTCTGAGTGCATACTTGCATTAATGCTTTGAGTCACCTGCATTTAAGACAGACTGGCTGTGCTATGTCAGAGTCTTTCTCGCCTTTTTCTATGGCCTCTGTACTTGCAGTTTCCTACCACCTCCACCCAAAGGTTTAAACTATGCAAACATCCTCCACCCCCACCCCCCCACCAGAGTCCTAAAGCAATGCTTGCTCATAGTTGGACTGTAACCCTTTTGTAGAAAGGCTGGGCGAGGCAAAGATGAACTTCACCTGCCATAACTGAATGAAGACCTGGAGAGGAGCTAGCCGATGAGAAGTCACTTTTCCTATCAAGGGACATGTTCTGTCTTGTTCACAGGCGGGAAAGGAAACATGAATTTAAAAACTGCTCAGTGACTTGGGGGTAAGAAGTCCCAGTCACTAACAGAAGCTACTGCTTCTTAACGGAGTAAGAATAAGAAAATTGTTAAAAAACAACAAAGAAATAAAATCAGTAAAAATCCAGGGGACGGGTTTGTTAAAGACACATCCCTTATTCTTGTGAGGAACTAGCTCCGTGCTGGATAAAATGGGGTTCCTGGGTTTTGCAAAACAGACGACTGGGCAAAAGTCAGACCTTGAAGCAGGAGTAGCCTGCACCCGCGACCAACCTCGATGAGCAGGAAATGCCTTTCCAAAGGGGAGACGGACCTTATCTCAGGGGGTAAGCACTCCATGGGTGTTCCTGCCTTTGTGTTCACACCACTCTTTCACACCTACCTGTCCTGGCAGCGCACCCTGAAAGCGCCCCTCGGCCAGCTGGGACCTCTCCTCCTTAAGAGAGCCACCAGCGGAGAGGGGCGAGGAGGCAGCCTGGCCCTTTAAAGGGGCCGTAAACACCAGAATCACTTTCTTTAAGAGTAACTTCCTGTAAACTGAGAAGGGGGAAATACATGTGGCCTCATCAAAGCAGCCTGCGAGAGATTTTGCGGTGTGTTTGTTATGAGAAAATGGAAGGGAGCCGGGTGAGTTGCGCTGCATCAAGAGGAGCCTTTGGGTTTCTCTGCGCACCCCGGCTCGCAAACTTCCAGGAACACAGGGCTCCGGCACTTGCTGCCTGCTGCTGCTTCCCAAACCGGCCCTGCACCTCTCCCACGACAGGGCCACGGATGCTGCCGGTCACTGTGCTCCAGCTGCGGGGCAAAGGCAACCCACTGGACTCCCACCTATTCTGGGGAAGTCCAGACCAGATGTGCTGAGTCATGGCGCAGTTCCCAGAAGTGACGCGCGGGCAAGGCTCAGGCAGCGTTCCCCCCGCACGCAGCAGATGTTCCTGCCTCTGCCAGCAAGCCCAGGATGCCTTTAATAACATGTGGGAAGTTATCTCCCACAATTTCCTTTGCATATGCAAGCCTGTGTCAGACCCCTAGGAAGAAATTCATTTTCAATGCAGCAGCATGTCTTGAACGAATCAAGGGATTATAACAGGGAATTTAACGATGCTTAGATAGCTCCTAGGATATTATTTCTGAGGATCCCTCTGCTTTAAGGCTTAAGATCACATCATGAGAATGATGTCATCTTTCTCACTGCAGCATATGAATGAAGTCCTGCAAGATGGTTAGCAGCCCCTCTTCCCAATGTTTGCTGTCTTGTTAGCAACTGGCAGGGCTAGGACCAGTGTACCAATCTCTTCCTAGGGTGGACATGAGCTCTCAGAAAAATCTGGCTGAAAGAAACATTCTGTAGCCTTATGAATGTGAAAACGGTTGCTGGCTTTGTAAAAATGCTCATGCAAATAACTGCCTGTGCAATGCTGTATTACGCTGCATGAAGACGATCTGAGAAAACCAAAATGATTCAATTAGGTAGGAAGAAAGGGCTGGTGCTTGCCCTGGGTTTCACCTGGATATGGGGTTGGGATATTACTAATGCAGGCAGGCACCTGGGCACAGAGGCTTGGATATATTCCAAAATCCACTGACTTAGACACAACCTAAATGGCTAGAAGGCAGCAAAATAAATCTATGGAAGGAGATGGGGCTGAAGGAATGTTCTCTCACAATTAATAATGGCTCTGTAAAGGAAACTGAGGATTACGTCAACTGATAAACTGGAAACATATTCCCAAGCACAGACTTCCCAAGTCAAAACTAATTGGCTGGTGCTCCTCTCCAGCTTATACTACAGAGTACATATTGGGCATCACCTCTAGTGCTTGTCCGTCATTAACGGATTTTTCCCTTCACTAAGATCTGTGGGCTGTTCTTTTAACACTTTCTGAAGTGGACTAGAGAAGCTTATGACTTGAACGAAGCATGATGAAGATGACCACCCCTGTGTTACAGCAGTTCTATCCAAACCCAGGAAAAAATGTCACAAAAGGTATAATTCCAGAGCAAAAGATTATGCAGGACTTTCACAGCTTCTGCATAGCTAGAAAAATCAAGGACACATGTTATCTGCATAAACAAGAGTGACTTTCCACTGTGAAAAAAATGCAAAATAACCTGCCCCTACAACAAGCATCAGAACTGTTTCTTTACACAACCAAGCACTGATACGTTTCAGAAGACACTGCTGGGAAGGGCTGTGCATCTCCCCTCCTCTCTCCACCCACACTGTCCCTATATCCAAGGCAGCCAGGCTTTTGCTCAGCTCAGCTCAATACTGTCACTGGCTGCGTTCGCGCCTGGCAGCGTACAGAGGTTGCCCCCTGCATTCGCACAAGTCTGCAGCAGGAAGTGGCCCAGCTTTTCAGCTGTACTCATTCAGTGAGCTGCTTACTTAAACAACATGGGGCTGTTTTTTCCTGCTTACCCGCCAGAAGTATTTTCTGTTTGCATTCTTGGGAACTGTATCGCTGGTGTAGATCTCTCCTACAAGGGGTCCAAAGCGTGTTCCTTTTGGGATGTACTCTTTGCTTATAACTCCAGTGACCTGTAAGAAGAGCGGCACAGGGTCAGTCCATCAACAGCAGAAATCAAAAGGTCTTCCTTTCTCTCCCCTGTCCCCCAATCTTAACAAGGTAAAGCAAACCAATGCGAGAAATTTTTAGTGACAGCTCAGCAAACCAGAAATAAAGTAACAACAGTGTTGGATATGATACAACCATCTCTGTTAGATACCAGAATCTCACTGAGACAGAGGGAAGACAAAGATAAAACACCACCTGAAAAACGTGTTTTGTGGAAATACATTGACAAGAAGAAACAGTGAAGTGAAATATACAGAGACTGTCAAATTTCTTCACAAGTTATTTCTCTTATCAAAAGCAAACCCCAAAAGTCCAGTTCCAGCAAACAAAAATATTCAATAGCTATCAATCACTTCACTGCCACAGAGCTCACTTTTCTAGTAAGTTAGGAACTGGAATGACTGCTCCTCCAGATCAGAATGAAACCTTCCCCCACTCCCACCTTCTCTGCTCTATACCCATCCTTATGGCTAAAAGGAGAACAAACAAAGACAACCTACAATTCTCTCACCAGCATACAGCCGCATAGAAAACACTATGAAATGGTTTTGGGACATGTACTCACAGATCACCCTCTTTTATGAAAAGGGAGGCAGCAGTTCCGGTAACATATGTCAAGTGGGTTTGGTCAGAGCCGTAAGGGTTTTGATGAAAACGCTCCACTATGCTAGGTCTAAGAAATATACTCTAGTTGTTCAGCTTCCTTCTTGACAGTAATTACACCAAAAAAAGTCACTGACCACAAATCAGGAAGCAATTCATCATTATTCAGAAGACCGTGCCTTGGAGTAACCCTTCGCAAAACACTGCTGAGTTATTGGTTTTGTTTCTCTCTGTTGCTCACCAATCTTCTTAAATTTAATGTAGCAGAACAATGTTAGAAAACCAACAATTCTGTCAACCAAAAACCCCAAGCCTTGGCAAAACTGATCTTGCTGCTCAAATAGTGGAAAAAAGAGAAGGTAAAAAGCCCATTAATTTAGTATTATACGCAACTTTCATGGCAAAATGTATTAACTGTATCCCCTTCACACATCTTACCACTTGTCTTTTTGCTGCCAGGATTTCAGAACAAGACAGAACAACAGAAACACTGACAGTTTGGATTACTGCAGTCTGCAGCCTGCAAGGAATCAATGCTTTTACCAAACCAGATTAGCACTCATCAGCCCCTGCAGATAGCTCACTTCAGTGGGCATTTCTCTTCTTTGTAACAGTCCTTCACAGCAAAGCATGGTAAAGACCCTGGACTTTGTAAAATTAGCTAAGCTTTGTGATGTTCCCAGGCTACATTTTCTTCTGTTCTATCACCCTTGGTGTGAGAGATGGAGAGAGACAGACAGGGAAACACTTGCCTGTGTATTGGTCAAGATTAAAACCCCCAGTAAACAACTAACACCTAGCATAATTTCACTGTTGTAAATGTCCAAATACAGAGGACAAATAACAGCCCTGGACTCAAGGAGGTAATCCACCCGGAAACAGATTCCTGGGTGTGAGTGGTGGCTGTTTGCACTTGTCTGTGTTTCAACATGTGTTTCAGCACACTACAAAAAAAATTAAACATCAACAGCAGAGGCAGTTAAATGCTCCACTGATCTGTGCATCTGGACTGAAGAGAGAGAAAAGGGACTTCCAGAAATTTTCCTACACCTACCACAAGCTGAAACAAGCTCAGTGGCTCAGTTTTATTTTTGTCTTGCTTGTACATTTCTCATAGAGAGCTGAAAAAGGCAGATGTTCTTCTCATCTTCCCTATATATCTTCATTTACATCCATCTGCCCTCTCAAGGAGAGTTCACAACCAAGCTACAGCACACCCCACCAGTTTTACTGCATGATAGCTCCATTTTTTTTCATGGTTTTAAAATATCTTGGCCTTAATTAAAATGACTTTAATGAAATTCTCAGAATGTCTAGAAATTGCTCCTCGAACTAGTCAACTTGAAACAGTCACTGAACTGGTCTGTGACACAGTAGATACTTTCTGATATACACCTTACATGCAGTATTGGCTTCTCCCCCAGTACAGCTGAATACGAGGACGATTTTTCACCCTGTACCCATCAGAAGGTCATTTTGGCAGAGGATGTTCTGCATATCCATGTGTGCCAACACTGAAGTTCTGCTAAACCAGACTAAAACTGTCCGGATGCCTTTTAACTGATGGTGGCTTTCTAGTCAGCAACTCTTGGTCTCTAGTGTGCCCCCACAAGCTCAGTGGCCGTGGTTGAGGAGGGGTACCCTCCAGGAGAGGAGTGCCAGCAGTGCCAGGACAGACTGCCGGCATCCCTCCTCTCTCCCCCCCCCCGCCCCCAGCCTAAAGGGGCTCTTGTCCTGCCACAGTTTAGGAGGGGGGGCTTAATAAGAGGCCACCGCGTACAGAGCTGCCGAGGGGTTTGTAAGCAAAAACAGCAAAGGAACTCCACATCCAGAACAGAGGGGAAGCCGTCTCCCGACTGCCGAGAAGCTGCCGCAGAGAGGCATTTCAGACTTGTGTCCACCAGGTGTCCTTCAGCACACTGCTGCCTCTCGGCGATGAGACCTTCCGAAAACAGCCTCGTGGCAGGGAGCCACAGAGGAGCATGACCTGAGCTCGTTCCCCACAAATAAATGCCTACTGCCCTTGTGCAGTCTTCTGGGGTTGAACCACGCCGTAAGGGTGCAACGCGGTATTTCCAGAATAATTTCCTCTCTACCAGACACTTACTCCCCTTTCCCTTCAAAGCTCCAACTTCCAAAGCTCCTACAAACGCGCCGCTACCATCTATTTCCTTTCAATAAAACAGCATTTCTAGCACTGAGTCAAACGTGAGCCTGCAGCCGCAAGGCCGGCTCCCGCTGCTGCGGGCAGCCCAGGCTGCTGCAGAGCCAGCGCTGAGCTGACCGACTGTGCCCTCGGCCCGAGCGGGACAGGATGCGCCGCTCGAGAGGAGCTGGCTGGCGAGAGCGGCGGCGGCACCGGCGGCACTCGGCCGGGCTAGTGCGGAGAGCCCGGGGCCAGGAGCAGCCCGGGACGGCAGCGGCCGCCCTGGAACTGACCAGGGTCCTAATGCGGCGCCGGGGGCCGGGCACTGGCACGGGCACGCCAGGAGTCTGCAAGTGCCCCTCCGCAGAGAGCAACCCGCCCGACCGGCAGCCCCGGGGCAGGATACCGGTGGGCTCCGGTTCCAAACTCGTTGTTTAAAAGGCGCTTGGAAAGACCAACACTCCTACATCTGCCTCGGGAGAGAGCACTGGAAATAAGCAGCCACCCCTGTCCATTCTGCAAAGGGAGGGTATTTTGCAATGGGAGCGCTAAGCTGCTTTAAAACAAAACACCGAACAAACTCTTACTGGCTTCAGCAAAATAACAGTATTCTCCAAACACAAATAGGGAAGGCCACTATGTGTCCTGGAATAACACCGATTTATTTATATATATTGTTTTAACTACTCGTTCTACAGTTACATAAGCCTACATAAATTTTACCCTTCAGTGACCAGTTTTCTGAAAGAGAAGCCATGAAGCATGTTTTTACTCTGCTTCCTCACATATAAAAGAAATAAAAGCAATACGGGAGAGCAAGTGTCTGAGGTCAGCGAGGCACACTTCACAACAGCTGAAAATCACCGCTTTCTTCAAGATCACTGACTAAGGGTACTTCTCTAAGAAACGGCCTTAGAGGAATCCAACAAGTAATGGGTTTGCTGATACACTTTTCTCTCTGCCAAGCTCACAGAGCAGGATGAGGCACCAGCAATGTCCAAGACAGAAGAATAACTGGCACTTTGTATCAAGAAAGGCTGTTTGGGCTTTAAGAAATGAGACCAAAGGGAAAAAATACTGGAAAAAAGTTTTTAACTGTCTGCATGAAAAAGATCATTCACATATGGCCTTCTAGAGTGTGAATTTGGCACCTCATTTCATCATTTTTTGTCAGTTGCTAAAACTATGGGAAAGGATAAATAGTTCACACATAGAAATAAATAAATGACTTCATGTAAATCTAGCAGGCTAAAATGTTACGAGCAGTAGTAATTCATTTTTTAAAATGCTGACACATGCTGTGAACTCATCATGAAAAATGTGTCCTTCAGAAAAATCCCCGATCAAGATCCAAGAATAAACAAGAGCATGACGTGTCATGGACTCACTTACAAATTCAGTAAGCCTTTACAGAAGAGCTACTTGCTTCACAAAGCATGCAAGGAAAAGAAACACAAAAAGTAACCCTCCCCAAACAACAGCGGTTGTAATTCCTCCCTCCTCAGCAGGCACGCAATACTTTTCCTACTCCAAGTGGAGATAGAATACTAATCATGACAGCACCAGGATTTCATGATCTAATCATGACAGTATTAGCATTTCACAAGCTATGTCTTATATATGTTTTTGTCAATAAACTGACTCAGCATTTAAAACTTCTGACCAGATGAAGCCACAGCTCTCCCCAAAGTTTGCAATGAAGACAGCTCACATCTGAAACCCACTGGCAAGCATACACACATGCCTGCATCCCCCAAAGTCTTACCGCATCCTTTCACAAGTGAAAAAAACCCACCCTATCAAGCTGTCAGGACTCCAGTGGTTCTCATGAATCTGGTCAAAACCAGAATCAGGCTTTCTCCCTGATCCCACAAAGACATGATGCTCAAGAGCAACATGTGCCCAGTCCTGACCCCACTGAACAAAATCAAACTTGGAAGGCAGACAGAAAAGAATGTTTCTTGTCAGAAGTTGCTAGAATGCAGGTGGATTGTGCTATTTACAACTATTCCGTCCCGCAAACAAGT